CCTCAGCAAACAAATGGGCGCACAGAAATAAAAAGTGAAATAATGAAAGATTTATGACTTGTGTTTACGCACAGTAAGGACACCTTCAGAAACAAGCTGAGCTACCAGCGAAACACATTGAAGAGCAATCAAGTGGATTTTCTGAACCCTTGAGGTAGTGTGTATCACAGACCACCCTCAGACCCCCTTTCTCCTTGAGGTAGTGTGTATCACAGACCACCCTCAGACCATCTTTCTCCTTGAGGTAGTGTACAGTATATCACAGACCACCCTCAGACCCCCTTTCTCCTTGAGGTAGTGTATATCACAGACCACCCTCAGACCCCCTTTCTCCATGAAGTACTGTGTATCTCAGACCACCCTCAGACACCTTTTCTCCTTGAGGTAGTGTGTGTCACAGACCACCCTCGGGCCCCTTTTCTCCTTGAGGTACTGTGTGTCACAGACCACCCTCGGGCCCCTTTTCTCCTTGAGGTAGTGTGTGTCACAGACCACCCTCAGGCCCTGTTTCTCCTTGAGGTAGTGTGTATCACAGACCACCCTCAGGCCCCTTTTCTTCTTGAAGTATTGAGCATCACAGACCACCCTCAGACCCATGTACAGCTTTCAGATCTAAGGTAGTGTGTGTCACAGACCACCCTCAGGCCCCGTTTCTCCTTGAGGTAGTGTGTGTCACAAACCACCCTCAGGCCCCTTTTCTCCTTGAAGTAGTGAGTGTCACAGACCACCCTCAGACACCTGTACAGCCTTCAGATCTAAACCATTTGAATAGCTTCAATGCATCTTGGGCAAGTGGCCAGAAAGGCCATCGTCCAATAATAAGTGGAATTCAAAGGACATGAGCTCACAGAGGAGTGATATATGGGTGGAAAGACCCCCAAAAACACAAACAGAGAAACGCCACGTTATAGAGCAGGAGATCAGTCACGTTAAACATAACTGCCCTCTTCAGAGCTTTTATCCCCTACATCACATGCCATTAGTGTGATAAGGCACTGCCAGTCCCCTCCCCCAAACACCATTTTTAAATCACATCAGAAGGTGTGCAGTCCTGTCACAGGTTAACGCTGACGGTAATCAGTCACCCCCCATGATGCACTGCCGCCTTTTCCCCACGCCGATGCTGTCAGAGCTAACATATGTCATACAGCAGGCCCCCCCCCCCCCCACACAAAAAAAGGGGCAGACACATTTGTATATACTGCAAGAAAGTCGGATTAATAGCGTCTCTCTCAGCCGGAGAAGTCCACTAGCTTAAGGTATAACCCAGAGGCTGACATTATCAACAAATTCAGATTCACTCAGGAAAATCATTCCAGCATTTTTGATAATATTTTAACTAAAATTTGGATTCAGTGAACAAATTTCCTGTAAGCATATTTAGAACCACCATTTAAACTGTCTCCTTTTTGTGAGTTAATCGTAAATCTGTGTTTCCGTCACCCCATTTAAAGAACCGTACCGGTCTGAATACATGAGGCCTCAGTCACGCAGCCAAACTGCTCATTAAGACAGAATCCTTCACAATCAGAGCCATGTCAGCATCGCTGGCTTTGATTTATCAAATTGAACATGCAAGGCAACGTCTCTTTATAATCTCTCAGTAGGGAAGAAAGATGGATAAAGCTAATTTAGTGTTATTTGGATTTCTCAGATAACACAGTTCTTCCAAAACATAAGTCTTACTGTCATGTTTAACATGCATATGGAAGACACCTTTTAAGGAAAGGAATCAAATGCCGCTTCACTCTGGTTAACGCCCACATGCTGCTTCACCCTGGCTAACGTTCACATGCCGCTTCACCCTGGTTAACGCTCACATGCTGCTTCACCCTGGTTAACGCTCACATGCCGCTTCATCCTGGTTAACGCCCACATGCTGCTTCACCCTGGTTAACGCTCACATGCCGCTTCATCCTGGTTAACGCCCACATGCTGCTTCACCCTGGTTAACGCTCACATGCCGCTTCATC